CGGGTGGTGTTGGGTGGTTTTGACGATGGTGGGGAACTGGTGGTTGACGGCGCCTGGTGGTGGCGTTCTTGCCGTGAAGGAGTAGGGTTTCTTAGGTTTTTTTTCTTTTTTCAATGGAGGAAGAAGAAGAAAGAACAGTATTCTCCTTTCAAATTTTCAAAGTCCTCTTCGTTGGTCCGTGTTTTTGTAATACAATGCCCATGAAAATGAGCCCCACGCGTGATGGGAGGCATATGTCCCCCGCGCGTGGTGGGGTTCCCCACGTGTCCTGGACACGGTTTATTATGGGCTAGGTTCGAAAATTAGGCCTAAAATCGGGTAGTTTGAACCCGAATATTATTCTTTTGCCCGAACCCGAGAAATAGGAACACGTTGCTTAACTAGTCCTATGTAAGCAAAATAACTACCAAAAATAATACTAGTATTTAAACAAAACTATATCTTTTTAAATATTTTTCAAGATTTAAAATAGCTACAAAATATTAATAAAACTATTTGTAATTTTCGTTTTTAAGATAAAATATGAAGTAATTTTTTTTTGTATTTTTCAAAGTTAAAATGACTATAGAATATTAATAAAACTTATATTTTTTGTAATTTTCGTTCTTTAATAAAGACAAAAATATGAAGTAATATTTTTTGTATTTTTCAAAATTATAATGACTGCAAACATTAATAGAACTATATTTTTTTGTAATTTTCGAATTTATATAAAGTACCAAAATAAAGTACAATTTTTTTGTATTTTTCAAGTTTATGAGAAATACATAAACTAAAATTATATATATATTTTTTGTGATTTTTCTTTTTGCAACGAAATAAAGTAAAATAGTTAAAATAGCTATACTAGACCCAATTTCACATATTCACGCTAAAAATGTGAAAATTCTCGGGGAGAGTCAAAAATCACGTGCTTACAGTAATAATTAATCTCTTTATACGTTCGGCATTTAATACTGTAATAGTATCCTAGTCAAAGAGCTAATAATATTCTGGAACATGCCATAACCAAGGGATGGCCCCTCGTAAAAATTGCACGGAGCGCCCTATTTGGTCGTCCTCATTTAACATATACTCATTTTTTAAAAAACTTTTAACTTGTACCCAATTCTTAAATAACTTCAGCCCCCTTTGTCTTCCTTCTTCTCCTCCTTCATTTTCTTCTTCTTCTGAAATAAATAGCTGAAACATGCAAACAAGCAAATTGAAAGAAAGGAACTCCATCTCATTACAGCTAGATGTCAACAAGGAGTTATCTCTGATCAGATACCATATTACTCTATAAAACTTTAGTAAAGTTATCTAAACAAAATCAAAGTACAGAATATTGTGGAAAAAGATTGGGTAGCCAGCACGATCATTATACAATTTCTGTGTAAAATATAGCGCTTATTTTCTAGTTAATATTGTTTAGTCGTTGACGTGAAAACAACGAAACAGAGAAATAATGCACTTGATTTACAAATAGTTAATTGCATTGTCAGTACATCAATTGAAAGAAATGGTTGAATGCTAATAGCTGGTGAAGGCTTCATCAATTGGATCAATGGAGAGGAGCAAATCCAACGGCTTCATATAAGAGTTAATTTTATCCAAGCTTCAGCTCTAGGGCTGAAGTTTCCCAGTCACAACACAGACTTCAGCTCTAGAGCTGAAGTTTCCCACTCACAACACAGAAACTTTAGCTCTAGAGCTGAAGTTTCCCACTCACAACACAGAAACTTTAGCTCTAGAGCTGAAGTTTGCCAGTTACAAAACAAAAACTTTAGCTCTAGAACTGAACTTCAGGCCCGGCTACTAGAATGCTGAAGTTTTGCGTGATTGCCTTTGCTACTTCAGCCCCGTGTGCTGAAGTTATGCGAAAAAGCGGGTACGCTTGCATTTTTTTTGCAAAGCGGACACAAATTAAAATGTGACACAAAAAGCGAGTATAAATGCAAATGCCCCTGGTCCCTCTACGCATATCATTTGTTTTATTCCTCTATTTGGGCCTAGTTTCAAGAAACATGTTATATAAATTGTCAAAGAAGATAATAGTGTAAATGATAATGCTTGGTACAATCAGACCTCTTTATAATAACATCTCTATATAACAGTCATTCACTATAAAACCAATTTTTTTTTTCTAATGTGATGTTATAATATATGCCCTCTATAACAGCACTTCACTATAGCAGTCAAAAAGTATCGGAACAAACGAGGCTGTTATAGAGAAGTTTGACTGCATATTATTGTAATATGAACTGCATTTCTCACAAACATATTATACAATGCTTCTCATATTATGTGTAGATGTATTTCTAGGTAATATGAACTGCATTTCTCTTGATCAAATTATACAATTCTTCTCAACTTTCCTGACTAATTTACAAATGTGGTCGAGTAATTCCAATTATGAGATAAAGAAGATACATTTGAAGAAGTACACTTCATAAAATCAAAGGTTTTGTGATGTTCTGGTAGTTTTTCTCGTCGGCCGCCACACCCCACTAGCAGTTCTGATAGTCTTTGGAGGGTCCTTGAGAGATGTTGTAAGCTGAACTTCCAGTTTTGAAGGGTCCAAAGACAGCATTTCTCGGATAAAATCATCTAAATCAAAGCCGCTTCCTGTATCTATGCTATTGTCCTTGATGTTAGCCGAGGAGGAACTGCCTGATTCTTCTGTGCTGATGTTAGCCGAGGATGAGGAGGAACCGGCTGATTCTTCTGTGCTGATGTTAGCCGAGGAGGAGCCGGTTGATTCTTCCTGGCTGATGTTAGTCGAGGAGGAGCCGGTTGATTCTTCTGAGCTCCCATCAGTGTCGTCTGCAGCAATAGTATTAGAAGACTCCTTTACCTTGTAATAAGAGTTCTGATCCAAATTCAAGAGCCTCTTTATGCTATCAATCGCCGGATCAATGACATCTAAGAAACCCATAATCCATGACTCATCGTCGACAACTTCAGTACGCTGTTACACAGGGAAAAAAAGATCATATCTCAGTCTTCACTGAACTTATCTAGCTTCATTGGTTCTTGTTATGACTCTATTTCTGAAGCTTAAACACCATTTACTACTTCTAAGATAGGTGATCAACGCCACAACCATTGTCAAAGCGTAAACATAGATATCTATTGGTTGGATTAAGCAGAAATAATGAATATTGAGAACACTGCTAAAAATATGCTCGTTGAAGGAAATCGCTTGTATTAATGGGGAATACTCATTTACCTGCTGAAAGTAGAGGTTACGAATTTCCTCTGCACGCACGGAGTTGCCTTGATCTTCCTCCAAATTTGCCCATGTCATCCATGTTATATAGCTCTGAGAGTTTATGTTCAGAGAAGATCTAAACAATCTTCGAGCAGCTGATAGATTTCCGGCTCTTTGCTCCAAAACACCCCAAGCCTACAAAGCATATCAAATTAATAAACAACTCTCAGTACATTTCCTACGGGAAACATAATCTCCACAGTTTAAGATATACGCCAGAACTATGAGTTTTAGGAAAAGCAAACTAGAAACTTACTCTATCAATTTGAGATTAACATTACCTGAAGACAGCGCGCAGCACTTTCGGTTGTTGAATTGATCGACAGAGCTCTCTGGTATAGTTCCCTAGCAGTGGAAATGTTACCTTCTTTCCACTCCATCCAACCCCAAGCCTAAATCAGTACCAAGTTTAGTAAGCATTTGATGAAAACATTCATGTTCAGGACAATGGATAATTGTGGAGGAAGTAAACTTCTCCTGAACGTAGAAAAGGGGGAAAATAAAATATGAATTTGGACTCATTGGAAAGGGGGAAAAGCAAAGAAAAAAAAGGTAGATGTTCCACCTTACTTTGCTTTGAGTACTCACTCCAGGAAACTCCCTTTATTTTCCGATACTACTGTCTGTTAAAAATGCATAGGATAGGTATTGAATTGTTCATTATTCCTTTTTCTTGGTTGTCAAAGTTACAAGTTTACTATCTTAGACTGTTGCCTGAAAACAAATGGAAAAGCTCTGCCGGCTTCATCAATTGTTGTCATCTCTTATAGTCTTTCATCTTCTATTTACCATGTTAAGCGTTTGTTTTCTTTTAGTAAGGCTTTCATTTGCCGAAGGTTGTAAAGGAGGTCAGTCGATTATTCGGTTGAAAATTGAGAACATACAAAAAGAAACAAAACCAGGATACTTCTAACTTCTGTAGAAAAAGTTTAATATTTAAAAGAAAAGTCTTACAATCCAAACTGGTTGATGCCTTGGATCCATTTCAGATGCCCTCCGGAATAAAACTCGTGCGAGGTTGGCACTGGAGTGCTTGTATTCTATCAAAGCAAGTGACTGGAGAAGAACAGGATCTCTAGGATTTACCATATGCCCAATTGTCAGAAGTTTCCTTCCTTGGTCAATGTTTTCAAGATTAGCTTCAAAAACTCCCCACACGTGCCACGCAAACCGATTTTTTGGACTGGCCTGAACTGCTTTCTGCTTTGTCAGGAGTATAAAAAATACAAGAAAAATAAATAAAGTTGAAACTAAAGTAACAATGGCATCAAATAAATAGGAAATGCTCAATGATGATAGCAAAGGATTAACTTCAGAAAATACAAACCTCGAATAGCTGCCTAGCAGCACGATTATTCTCTAACTGAGCCTCTAGTTGAGCCCATGCCTGCACAAGAGAGTACAGAACCACTATAAGGAATCCACCAAAGACATGTGTACAGACCATTGAAAAAGAGCAAAGGCGGATTAAAGTTTTTGGATAACTCTTACCAGCCAACTAGCACAACTTTTTCGGTTACACTTTGTCGCCTGTTTGAACAAGTAGCGGGCTCTTTCATATCGTTTTGCTTTAGCTTCAAGGAGTGCAAGAGTTTGGTATATGTACTCGTTACCTCCACAAAACTTGAGGCCTTTGCCAAGAAGATTTCTTGCCTTTTTTATATTCCCTTGCTTCAGCTCTAAAACTGCCCAACCATGCCAGGCTGCAATATGCTTCTTGTCAGCAACTGTGGCAGCATCAAATAGTTCTCTAGCTCTCCGTATATTACCCATCCTATTTTCCAGAATAGCCCAGCACTAGTCCAAAGGAGTAAGTTTGGTGAACTTCTGATACAAAAGATAAGTTGCAAGAAGACATGTAGTAGGTCATATTGTTTTCAATGAAGGCACATCATTTGCAAACGGATAATCTGACCTTGAATCCTCTTAATAATTAATTCTTTTTTTTCCACCCTAACAGACTCAAGGACCAATTCACTGATCCATGTTAAGACTTAAGAGACAGTCAAGGATTACTGATGAAAATTCTCTTCTTCGATATTTGAAATTTTGAACTTTATTAAGAGAAGCATTATGAAACGACCTTAGACATGATCAGTGGCGGATCCAGAATTTTAACTAAGGGGCATCAAAATATAAATAAGCATGCAAAGAAATCAAGGGGAGTCAACATATAGTATATATATATAAAAAATAAAAAATTTAACCTATCTATGCAGTGTAATTTTTGACGAAGGGGTGTCAATTGACTCCCCTTGCTAATGAGTGGCTCCGCTAGGGGGCATGATTTTGCCTTTTGCAAGGTGAATAATTGCAAGACATTGTAATGTTTGTATATGAATCAGCTGTTCCACATGCCCAAATTTATTTAATGTACAAAGTTAAAGGTCACTAAGAAACTGAACAAAATATACTATAAATGATCTTTACTCCATCAAGGATGATGACATATGTTTAGGTTGCAAATCATTAGTACTAAATCTGCTATCAAACACAAGTGGAAACTATGTGCTTAAACAACATATTCGACGGACTTGAAAATCAAATTATGCATTACAGTATGCTAGTAGAGAAACTTTTAACTTACAACAGATTCCTATTCAAGCTCAAGATTAACGTATAATATGGAAGTATAGGAGAAGACTAAATACAATGATAACACTGTTATAACACTAACCTGCCAAATGTAAGGATTTTCTCCTTGTGTTGCCTGGCATCCTTTTTCGTAAACAGTTCTGGCTTCGTTTAATTTTGATTGCTTACTCAAAATCTTTCCCAAAGCAACATATGGTCTCCCATCTTCTGGCCAGACATCAATACACTCCATGCATAAAAGATCCAGAAATCAGTAACATTATTAACAAATAATGAAGTGTCCTCACGATATCAAGAGAAAAGAACAAGGAATGGTTTTTTTTTTTTTTTTNAGGGTTAGTAAACCTCAAGCATTAAATAAGGAAATGTTATGTCAAAAGTTCAAAAAATACAATATAGAAATTGGTATGATAATTTTCTGCTTATGTTTTCATCGTATACATTTTTGCTCATTTTGCGTTATGTGATTCTTGTTTATTTGATGTCATTTAATTAAGTTTGACTAGTTGTTCTATGACACAAGTTTGCCGTTAATTTGTTCGTCCTTTCCTTCGCTTAGTTCATTCAAAAAAAAA